AATTGTTCAATTTTCATATATATATATATATATATATATATATATATATTCTCACAGGAGGCATGTATTCTTTATCCTCTTGGAGGAACAAATATGACTGCATCTTACTAAAACACTTAACACAGGCATGTATTCTTTATCCTCTGTGAGGAATAAATATTACTACATCTTACTAAGACACTTAACAGTAGCAGTGGCCAAGTCGCAGCCACAGCAGAAGGAGCAGTACAATAAATTGAGTTGGCATATTAAATCTTGATGTACAAACTGTATTGGCAATTTGGGGTACGAATCAAGGTTATCTTATCAAGTAAAACTATACACCTTTTGAAAATGCTTGGAAAATAAAAATCTACATCCACATACACGTACCGGAAGCAGTGTAGCCAAGAATCAACAACAAACTGAAGAGAATACACTGATGGGAATACACCTATTCTAGTAGTGAAAAAAGACACATATTGTCATTGAAAGGCAGGCAAAGGAACTTCAACAATATCCAACCATAAATGAATAAAAAAATTAAATTAACAAAATATTGGGGAGAGGTTAATGGGGGCTGGCTTAAGAACAATTAGCTGTTGGGTGACTTTTACATATTCAATCAATTCGATGTTATTGGAAAGACATCAGAGCAAGTGCGGACTTTTGCAGTTGCCTTTCAGCCCCATGACATCATCCCGTGCTATTTTTTCCCCTGTCGTTTGCATGGCGGCTGTTAATTGGCGTGTTTGGTATTCAGTGCAGGTATGCTGACTGACATGCGTTGGCGCCCTTCAAGTTCACCAAAGGGCTACGTTGCCTGGGGAGCGGGGCGGGGTGGCCGGGGATGTGCCCATGCGTGGGTCGGGGTCGTGGAGAAGTACACACACACACACACACACACACACACACACACACACACACACACACACACACACACACACACACCTCGGATCAATGGACGGTGAGAGGGAGGGGTGTGCGTGTGCGTGTGCGTGTGTGATGGGGTGCGCTGTTGCCATAGTGACGAGGGACGGTGATGTTACCAGGCAGGAAAGGCTCTCTTTGAATAACGTGGATGGTAAACAAGATCAGGAGATATTTTCCTCGTTAAAATACTTCCTTCTCATTATTCACAGTGCAATATAAATATTAGCCCGAGATAACCATTTTTAGAACATGGGGTATGCTATGACGCCACGGGAAACGGAAGAACCTCAAGCTAAGAAACTTGAAACAAACAGAACAACGTACAAAACAGCAACAACAACACAAACAGTGCACGAGACACCTGCAGTACGAACACGACTTGTGGTTTGTGCTTGGAAAACTTTAAAACTGGACAATACTGCCACTTAGTGGCTATCTGCTGCAAAAGAATGTTTATTGAAGCCCAGTTTCCGTACGGAACTGCTATGCACTAGCACCCTCTGCCGGATGATATTGGAACTCCACACATTCATCAAAACGTGCTCCGTCAGCACCATGGACAGCAGCCGTCAAGATTATTACAGGGATAAAGCACCGAGTTAGCTACATATTTAAGTTTTAACATTTAAAATTCAACTTTTCGTGGTACTTGGGGGATAATTTATGACATAAGACAATCTAAAAATCCATTAAAGAAATAAATATATGGATCTACTTTGTATATTGGGTATATGGAGTGGTCGTCGGTAATTTTAATGGCAGTCAATATTATGTCTCAGTTTAATGATAATATTAAACTGAAAAATATTTATATTCACTATTTACAATAATTACAAAAAGTTAAGGATCCAGTGTTTGGCTGTTGGGGCAAAATTCAGGATTGATCATAAATGTAACCTTGACAGGAGAACTTGATTTGAATGGAAATGAAACTTATCACATGTGATTGCGCAATGTTGACACACCCATGAACTTACCTGCTGCATGTAACCAATTACAACTTGCCCTCAGCCAGTGGGTGCTTTCTCTTCTTTTTTTTATTTGGATTGCACACGTCAGTAAACAGTTGTTCACAGTAACAATGCAAGAGCAGAAAACAAGCCGATCACTGCACAGCGGCACTTGTTAGCTCAACGAAGTATGTCTTTGTATTTACAATGGAGAGAAAAATAAAAGAAACTCAAGAGTCCAGCCCCCGTTATTATAATTTTTTTTCATCTCTGTGGGTGACATCAAGCACGTCAACCCTTTTCCACCCTTTTTTTTTTCACATGAGCTTTATCTCTGACTTGTAACATAGTTCCTTTATTCTTCCTCAACATTCAGAAAGCGGCATCTATCATTGCTACACTTGTAATTTGGATTGAAAAATAAGACGACAAGTCAATGAAAATAGCATTGTAACTCTAAACAAGCCAATTTGTGGCTCCTTTGGACGCTTCACATAAGGTAAACTGACACACAAATTGTAACTTTTTTTTGTATGAAACAGTTTCATTAAATAAGTGAAGGCAGCAAATGTCTTGCATCTGCATGTGAAAATCTGACTTTTCAACTTTTTCAAAAAAAAAAAAAAGTCGTTCATATTGTATGACTGGTTTCTTGTTTATACTTGAATGTGAATCAACATTTGATTCTCAGGCTGCATTTTTGTGTAAATTAATCCCGCAGGGGACAACGAGATCTTGAAACTTGAAACACAAGTGGAATAAGGCAAGTCAAAGAAACTGCATTTACTGTTGTTGTACAACGTTTAGAATGTTTTGGAATATTTAGTGTAGTATGATAAAAGACACTAACACACATTAAAAAGAAAAAAAAATGCCCTGACGTGTCACTCTTTCCATACTGCCTGAACTGCAAAAGCTTATTTTCTGATGGAACGCAGTGCGTTCCCGCATATCTGCGGATCCCCCCCCCTCCCTCCAGGATCTTATCCTTTGTTCACTGTTTTCGTACTCAGTACAAAGACAAGTGGAATAGAAAAATAGGGCAAGGTATATTTGTGATGCCCACATCCCGCCGCCTCCTCACCCCTTCCTTTTTGCCATGGATTGAATGTTTATCAGCTTTCTGAGGGTGAAATCCCCCCCCCCCCCCCAAAAAAAAAAAAAATATTTCAATGGGCACCAATTACAGTATACGCAAATTTTGATTATTTATGGGCCGGTCGCTGTCCCCCACAAATAGTGAGGATTGACTGCACAGTAAATAAACAAGTTCTTTAAATATACTGGTCCATATCTAAATAAAGATGTATTGTATTGTACTGTAGCTTTAATTTTATTACGTTTATTTTAAACTCGCTGATCGGCTCCAAAATTGTGATTGTGTTAAAGCCTAAATAAAACATGAACATGAAAGAGACACTGGCCAGCGGATCTCGCGCGTGATCAAAGCAAAAGTTTGTCAAGTCCGTTTCCGTAGGTCCATCTCTGGGATAAACACACTCCCAAAGAGGCATTGATGACAAGTTTTGGAATTCACTGAATTCAGCGTGATATGAAAAGTGGGATCGGTCCCAGTGGTCCCACATCCACTGTTCCCATCATCTCTGAGCCGCCTGGCCCTCACTACCTGTGACGGGAGGCCCTGTGCGCGCCGGACTGGCCGTGAAGATCTTCCTCCACCACGTTGCCGTAGCCTTCTTTCTCCACGCAGTCAGCCAGCACTTGCAGCACCAGGCCCAGCCGGCGGTCCAGGGCCTGCAGGTGAGGCCCGATGAGGACCGGGGATAGACGGTCTCGGAGGAGAGACTCCTCCATCAGGGCGCTCAGCCGGTAGTTTTCCTTCGCCAGAAGTTGGAGACGAAGGAAGGTGGACTTCTTCACTCTGGAAACAAAGAAGCGCTTGTTTTGGATGCTTCCTTGTGTTTGTAACATTCTGAGCAGGCATGTGGCGATTACTGGTTTGACAGATTCTCGTGGTTTGAAAAAGTTACGTTTTCAATGACCGCTAAGACTGTATGTCACATGTTTTTTTTTTTTAATCAGTAGGCAGAGAGGGGAGGGGTGAGCAGTTACTCACGGATGAGGAGGGAGGAGCAAGATGAAAGTGACATTGCAAATGCTGAGGCGTTTTGTTATGATTAATGTGTATTGTCCTTAAAAAAAATTGCTACAGTGAAACTCCTCTACAACGAAACCTGTGTGTGTGTGTGTGTGTGTGTGTGTGTGTGTGTGTGTGTGTGTGTGTGTGTGTGTGTGTGTGTTTACACTTGAGATCAAATTTGCTACAGTGAAAAAACCCCTGTTGTGAAAAAATTCTTGCTGCAAACATGATTTTGTTGTAGAGGAGTTTCACTGTAGTGTTTGTTTGTTTGTTTGTTTGTTTGTTTGTTTATTGAACATATATAAAACATACAATAACATGACAAAATGCAAACAAAATTTATGAAAGGAAAATAAAAGTAAAAGTAAGTAATACAAACATCATCACAGTTATATGTTCAAAGGAGTAGGAAGAAGTATACAACTTATCTAGTCCTACCCCTTGTTGTGCAATAATGTATATTGATCATTTCCAATACCAAAGAAAAAGAAGAAATCTAAATTTCATCAAATACTTTTACCCTTTTGTGTACTATACTTATCTATTGATACACCTTTCGGTTTGTATATATGTATCATTGTTCTTTCTACTTTTTATATCAAATGACTCATATTCATTATATATACTGCATTTCTTGAATACATTCAATAAGTTGTTCAAAATCCAGAACAAGAACAAACCATAGTATTACTATATTTTATAGGTACCAGTATGTAAAATTTATCTTCTTAATTTTGTTTTATGTAGTTTTTTTGTACTAATCTTTTAAATTTGTTTTTGAACTCGTCCAACGATTTACTAGTGGGTAATAATGTAGTTAGCCATTATGACAAAATGAGTAGCCTATGTTTCCGTACAAATATCATACTGTCAGAATTTAATATTGAGCCATTTCTAATGGTGAGTGAAGCAAACAAAATGTTCGGGTCTTCTGACCTGCAACATTGACTGAGCGGGACCAGGATGGACATCTCATCATGGGAGTATTTGCCAAACCTGAAAGATTCCATTGAAAAAAAAAGATAATATAACTGCATTCATCATTCAGAAATTGAGTTTAAACATTGAGAAAGCGACAAATGAGCCAAAATGTAGAATAGAATTTCTGGACTTGAGCATACAGTACTCCACAGCAAGTCATGACATTTATTTTCTGTCGGTGATATTCATGTGGGAAATAGTTCAGAATCAGTGACAAAGTAAGAAAAGGGGCAAACAAAGGTGGCTCAAAAATATTTTTGTGTATTTAAATCCACAAAATACACTTTTGGAAGCGGTGACCTTACCCTCTTCCATTGTCAAGATGAATAATGAAAGTGTCATTTCCAAACTTCTCAAAGGTTTCATAATGATGGCGATCCATGTTACCTTGGAGAGGAAAAGCAAAATTACAGTTAGTTCGCGAGAAATGGGCTCTTATGTCATCCTTAAACGCTTCCCTCGTCAGGTCGCCACAACAAATTAGCCTGATTTCAAATATTATCCAAACACATTTGGCAGTCGGCCGTACCCATCAGGAAGTCAAAGATGGTCATGTCCATGACATCCAGGAGTCGGGTGCCGCGGTCGTATGGAGGCGTCTGCTTCACCTCGTCGCAGTAATCTGGATCCACTTCCCATCTGTTCACATCAGTAGCGAATGATCAACAAGAGCTCATTGACGAAACTCAAAGAAATAAAAAGGAGCTTGGACTGACTCGGCCTTCTTGCGCTTGTGGTACGAGCGTCTCCAGGGGTTCCTCCACGTCTTGCGCTTGGCCAGGTTGAGGTCGGGCAGGAAGGCGGCGAGGGAGCCTTCCATCTGATCCGGCTTGCCGCACAGCGCGTGCTCGGTGGAGCAGTAGTACGAGCATTCGCCGTAGAAGCACACGTTGTTGGCTACGGTAAAGATGACACGGCAAGCGCGTTTACACAAGAACGGCATGAGTGGGTTTGAGTTTGGGTGAAAAGTTCAGATAGCAGCTTTCAGGCGATCGTCTTCTAGGTTGTTGTTGTTTTTTTTCAGACAGCATATGTATTTACTGAATTGCACTCACATGATTTTTCAGCTGTTAAAAATGCTTTGTTTTTCATTAAAATTTACAAGATGTATTATTTTCTTCTTCACAGAACAAGTCCTCCGTGCAAGTTCACGACAGAGGGAAAATATTGTGCGCAGGGATTTTGCCCCCATTGTGTCAACTGATCAAAACAGTTCTACAGGGTTATGATTGATAGATAATACTTTTTTACTTTAGTACATTTTAGAGTCTGCACTGTTTTTGCTTTGACCTAAGGACACGATTTGAAACAATATTTCGAATTTAAACTCTTTTTTTTACATGCATTCCTGCGTGTACAAAAAAAAGTCCTTTTGCCGCCTGTGCCTCTTTTTTCTTTTTAAAATCTATTCCATTGCATTTCGTTCATGGAAGACTTGAAAGATTTCGTTTCCTACAGCGCCACCCTGTGGTCAGGCTTGGAAGTGACTTACAACGCTGCAAAGGCTTGTGTTGTAATGTGATGTGATGATGACGCTGCTGGTGGAAGTTTCTACCTGGCGAGATGAAGAAAGTCCTCCACAACTTTTTGTCACGCGTCACGTCACGGATTTCTCGCGTCATGTTGACCAGGCGCCCAGCCACTGGGGGAACTCTCCTGAAATCCAGGATCCTGAAAGCAAACGGACAGAGGCGATGGCGTTGGGTAGAAGACGGAGCGGCGGTGCTCTTCAGCGGCTTTCGCTTGTCTTGTAGTTGACATTTCATTCATTCAGAGCAAAATGGTAGCCATCCATGCAGCGGTTTTTAAATTCATGGTTACAATTCAGGGCAGTTTGTCATGCGGTTTGAATACTTAAGGATGAAATTGTCACTTCATTCTTGATTTCTATGCACACAAGCATTCGGATGAAGAAAACAGCAGTACAAAGTCGCGGTTTCCCCTTTTTTTTTTTTTTTTTTTTTTAAAGTAAGAACACTCTTCCTTATTTACTTTTCCCGAGTGGCCCGTTCGAGACTAAGCTTCGCGGGAGCCGAAACACAAAACACAATCGCAAACACACACATAGGCTGACGTGTTGACGAAACCTCAGTTCACAGGGGACGGCATTCAGGGGCTGCAATCTGCACCGCCATGTCGGGGCAGGGC